AAAGGTGAAAATTCATTGTAGAGAGAGTGAACTTTTCATAATATAAATATGAAGATCTAGCCAAACCGAACCGAACCGTTCGGAGCTTTACGTAGGAAGGCCAAATTTTTTTGCAGACATTGCAACTTTCTGAGCATGATTTCCTTTAATGATAACAATTTTACTATCTTTTTATTTTATTAAATATATATATATATATTGATATAAAGCTTAACTGGATCATGATAGGATCATTTAATCAAATTATCTCCAAAGATAAACTAAAGAAATACATAATAATGAGCAACTTGCAAGAGAAGCTCATGTTATGGATCACCTTTGCTGCATATAATATATTTCAAAACTCATTTGTTGCAAAAAAAAAGGCATTCTTATTGTAAAAAGATTAACAAACAGGGTATCCATTTTTCTTGAACTATTCACTAAAGTCAAAAACAATATAGGAAAAAAGATGCTAACAAAATTCTAAAAATAAAAATATGTCATCTTGCAACCCTTGGCATGTTGTTGATCAATGCCATCTGCCAATTGATTGATGAATAGAGCGTCATCTTCAAAACGCTTCTAATAATGCTGTAATTATTGGGTTCCATAGTAGATCTGATGTAAAATTGGCTTATATAACTATTTTTATATAAGGATGGTACTTAACAAATGGGTCATTATAAAACTAATTAACTAATTTTGATCCCTGAAATTTTTGGTAATACCAATGTTCACTTTGTCTGGTTTTGTTACAGTATGCCCCATATAGGTTTTCCTCGGGTTAATAACCCTTGCTCATAATGAAACAGTTAATAAGTGGTTAATAACTAATTAATAACTTGGAATTATTAAGTGTATGGTTAAAAATTCCCATCACTAGTGAATATCTATTATTCAGGAATATTAGTGAAGAAAAAGATCATATAAGTAGTCTTGTGTCTGTAAAGAAACAAATGAGAGAAGATTTGATTATTTTATTAAAACAGATGGTATGTTTATACTTAGAAGAAAATGCAAACAAAGCTGAAAATCCAAGCATGATACCTTCAGAAGCAACTCAAGTAGCTGTTGTTTCATCATTAGGAAATCATTGACAAAACACCAGTAACAGCAGTAGATGGATATTTATCATGCTGTGAATAAAGAAAATGAATCATTTTGATGCTTAAATAAGAGAATAGGGAACAGAATCAGGACAGGTGTTTATAATTATTAATTACAATGAATGTAATAAAATTTACATTAATTAACTGTTATTGTAGATAAGACGCAAAAGGAAGGCCGAAAATGGTCCTGCTATTAGCACATGGATTGGAATATGCCAATGTCCAAAGTTAGCAAAGTTCAGGCATTCTGACAGCACATCATGCGAGCGTGCCCTAATTCACTTTATCGCATAGTGTAGAATCGCAATCTTAATGTTGCATTGAACATCCTTCAAATATTTTTGGCATGATATGGAAGGAATTTCCTCTGGTGTAAGGGATGGACAAGTGCAGATGGTTTACCATCACTGCAGCGTACTTGTTAAATAAAATCTATCCTTTCCTTATTTATTAATAATTAAAAACAAAACCAATTAACGATTTTACAAAATCTAAATCATGACATAACTAACCAAGTCTATCAGGATAACAAACATGATAAAATCTATGACCAGTGTACATGTATGACATTGTTCTTTTATAGAAAAAAATTTACGCCTAAAGAAGGAGTACCATTGATTCTTAACTTCCTTTATGAAAAAAATAATTGGTTCATATAACTTTTGAAAAGCTTCAGGGTCAGCACTGTCATTATTATCATTGATATCACCTTCATCTACACCATTTGCTTCAACATCAGAGTCCAATTTAACATTTGATAAAAGATCATCATCAATTGATGTTGAATTGTTGAGTTTGAAGAATCTAAATCTTCTTCATTAACACTTGAAAAAGAAAAAAGAAGGTGAAGAAGAACAGTCTGCAGAAGTCAATACATCACTGCATCACTAGGAACAAATTCATAAATATAGCTTTTTAATCAAATAATTAATATTTATTGATTAATATTAACATTATAGAAACCTTTTAAATCTACAATAACAGGTAAATGAAGAAATTAAAAATTAAAAATCCCAAATAATATAATATTAATCTCCTTAAAAAAAATTTTTTAAAATTAAAGGAAACCTTATCAGAACATTGTTAATTCAAGTACAAAAAACAAAAGTAGATTTAGAATTAGCCATGGCAGCTTTAGATAAATTATTGAAATCAAATGAATTGAATTTTGCTTTTTTAGCAGTTGGTCCGAGTCTTTTTGTTGTTTATTTATTGTGTAGTTGGATGGAAAGAATTTGGTGGAATAAAAATAATTGGGTTGGTAAACTTCAGGGAACAAATGCTCAAATGAGAGAATCTTTACGGTATGACTCTCAATTAGCATATATGGGCAAGTGGGTGTAATATTGATCATATTGCTAATAATTATATTTCAATTACCATTCATCCTAAATAAAAATAGACAAGCTGAACGAATACTTGTTAAGAATTACAATTCAACAAAATTAACTTATACAGCACATGGACTTTTGCTTTGTCACGTTCATCATCTTAGAATCTATTCAAGTTATTTGCCATCCAAAAATAGTTTGCAAACTCGATTTCTCAATGATCTTCGTGATTTGGATAATCCTAGTTTTAGTGTGCAACAAAAAATATTAACTTGTGAAAGAATGTGGAGATTTTGGGGATTTTTAAAATAATGCCAAAGATAAACATATGGGATGTGATCATGTGATTTAGTGTTTGCTTTTTCTTCAAAGTAATCCCAGACTTTTGATTTCCTTAACTTTTTTTTTAATGTATTTCTTATTATTCGCATCATCATCCACAATATCAATTACATTCCCAGTTTCACTTTCAAAGTTTGCATTTGATTCTTCATTAACATAATTCTCAATAAAA